TTTTAATTATTTTATTTTTTGACTAAACAGATAGACTGACTTTCTTTTTTTGGAACAATTCAAAATTCAAATCAATTTACAAATGTTAGCAGCGATCAAAAATAAATGTTTGTCAAATTTACGAACAAAAATTCAGGATAAAAATAATTTATTAGCAATTAAATTTGATGAAATGTAGAAGAGCCAGGGAGTGAGGGATTAATTGACCGAGAGATGGACAAATGACAAAAGGACAAGAGGAAAAAATTTATTAATTATCAATTTTAAGACCTGATCGTGATGAGTATATTGAAATCATGTGGCAAAATGTGATGCGTGGTGCGGAAGATCAATTTGATAAGCACAGTTTGCGCCATCTCGACTTACTCAATGAGCCTTATGATTATTCATCAATTATGCATTATGGACCGTATGCATTTAGCGGTAATGGACGTCGAACAATTATTGCTCTAAAGGTTTTTGTTTTTTTTCTTCTTCCATTAATTTGAAATAAGGGAAAAAAATTTGATTAATAATTTTAAAATTCTATCTAATTATGTTTTAAATATTGAAATAATTTGATAAAAGGTTACAATTGTTACAAACGTCAAAATTATTGTAATTTGAAATTTGAAATTTGAATACTGTTAACAATTATTAAAAGTAATTAGATAATCAGATTATACTTAAAACTGTACTACCAATTTGTCATTGATTTTGTTAAATTATTATTTCGTGAAATTTTCTTTTTTATTTTTTAGCCTGGTGCAGGTAGAATGGGACAACGTGAATCATTATCAAAAATCGATATACGAAAAATCAACAAATTATATTCTTGTCCACGAAAATCAGGACAAGAAATTATTGATGAAAATTCCAATGGTGATAACGCTGAGGTTACAAAACCAATAATATCGCTCAAAGTTAGATTTTTCCGAAAAGCATTGATTAAGCATAAATTAATTGAATGGCATAATAATTTCATGAGTAGCATACATTCTATTAACAAAAATGAATTAAAGTTAAACGTATGGGTAAATGAAGATGAGAAAAATAAATAAATAAATAAGTATAAATAGAAGCAAACAAAAACACATCGCAAGCAATAACACATTTGTAAACAAAAACATATTTGTAAATAAGGCAGCTTATTAATGTTGTTACTAATATTTCCTTAAATATATTTACTTTAGTTTAGTTCATGCGTAATGTAATGATATATGTTAAGATATTCAGTGTGTTGTATTGTCCTGCACTGTTGCTATTATTTATTGTTTTACCGTTATTGTTGTTGTTCTTGTAATTATTGTTGTTTTTGTTATTGTTATCGTTGTTGTTGTTGATTGTAGTGGTAATGTTGTTTATCAATGACGTCGTATTCTAAACTACTTCAATAATTTATCAATAATTATTTTTTTTCTAATCCAAAGAATTATAAATTTGTTATGTTTTTGTTTTGTTTTTTTCAAATATTCCTTTTCATTATTATTTATTAATGAAATTTCAGATAAAATGGGAATTTTAGAGAATTATTTAAATATCCCCAATTCACATAGTTTTGATTTTTTTTCGTATACATAAAAGATTTTAATTAGCAAAGATATAAAATGATATAACCAATTATTGAACAAACTATAGAATAACTGAAATAAATATAAATATTAATAAATTTCATTCACTTTATCATCTTATCATTCTTTTCTTATCAATGTGATCATTCATTTGTCTTAATTTTTTTTGTTTTTTTTTGCATCTTCACATAATGATTAATTAATAAATTCCGAATAATCTTTGAAATATTTGCTATTACTTTCAGCCTACCGTTGAATGTACTGATAAAAGTTGGCGATGTATCATTTGGTCGTTATCAATTTTCGATTATTGCTCAAGCAGCGAGACAATTGCTAATGATTTATGCCCAAAATCATGTGGTACTTGTTCTGATCAATCAATAGATCAACCGACAACACCGATAACAACAACAACAACAACAACAACAACAACAACAACAACAACAACAACAGCAACAACAACAACAAAAACAACAACAGCAACAACAGCAATAAAATCTGGAGTAGAATCGATAACATTTGATTTACAATCAGAATTGTCAACTGATACTAATATCAATACTGCGGAAAGACGACTTTTAACTACTACCACTGCCACTACCACTTCCAGTACTACTCTATCAACAAGCATTTCTGAAAGTACTAGAAGTAAGTTAAATTATAAAAATTTTAAATAGCAAAAATTTGAATTTATGCATAAATTAACAGAGTAAATTATTTTGAAAATATAAATATGATCTTTCTAAATAAATTAAACTTATTTCTAACATTTTGTGTTAAATTCTGTAAAAAAAAAAGACAAGAATGCTATACTTTTCAAATTTTCAGCAACAATTTGCCGTGATCTCGATTATTCATGTCCGTTATTGGTGAGAATGATTGATTGTGATGATTCTTTCCCATATTATTCGATGAAAGTTATTTGTCCCTTTTCTTGCGGTTTTTGCTCGGATAATAACGCTAATAACAACAGCAACAACAATAACAACAACAAAAACAATAAAACACCAAAGAAATCGGTAAAATTATGTGAAGATCGAGGAAGTTATATAACATGCAAATTCGTTCTTTTTTTCAATGAATGTGATGAAAAAATGAATTTATGTGCGAAAACTTGCGGTAATTGTTAATGACTAATAATTTTCAGAAATTTATTAATGGAGCAAAAAAAAAGGAAAAATTGAAGCGAAAGAAAGAGAAATTATCTGCTATTATTTCAAGATTGTTTTAGGGGTAATTGTCGAGAGAAGTGATCAATTTTTTTTGTCGACAAAAAAGTTTTTCCTTTTTGAATAATATAAACCGATGTATCCAAACTTGATTCTTCCCATTCCTATCTGCGATTATTGATTTAACTAAATTTACCAATTTCCTCTCCCGAACTTATTCCTTATTTTTTAAGAAGGGTAAATTATATCGCAAAAATTTCCCATCCAAAATTTCTATTCTGTTTTCATTGAACATTTCATCCCTTTCATTATTGTTAATTCAAATTAATCATTATTAATAATTTTATTCATGGAAATAAGATGCAGTGTTAGATATTAAATTAAAATATATTTTATTGAATTTTAATTTCAACGTATTTAACATTCCAATAATTTTTATTCACAATTAATGAATTAATAATTTTTGGTAATTTATTAATGGAGCAAAAAAAACGAAAAATTTGGACAAAAGAAAGGGATAGGGATTAAAATTAAATTTTTTTAAGGAAAACGATAAAATTACATAGGTATGAAATATTTTTCTTCATTTACCGATGGAAAAATTCAATTTAAGCCGGTAATTTTAATAATAATTTCAGAAATTAATTAATATAGCGGATACCTCGTAATGTTTCTGTCCAAAACCTATGTTTATTCATTAATTTATAACTGTTTACTCAGTTGTGTTTGTTCAGCTGTAAAGAGTGGATCGAGGAAAATACATACATATATATATATATACATATATGTATATGTGTGTATAAATCTACCCTCATAAATAAAGATTAATCAAATTAACCGAAATTACCTGCTTCTATCATTCGATGATCATTTTGGGGGCTAATTTTTGCATTGTTGAAAAGTGATTGAATGCCTTTTTTTAAAAGGAATGAATTGGAAAACTTATCAAGCAAATTTTATATCGCAAAAATTTGTAGGCATCTAAAATTTCTATTTGTTTCCAACAAAAATTTCATCCTTTCCATTACTGTTAATTCAAATCAATCATTATTTATGATTTTCTTAATCGAAATAAGATGAAAGATTGAATATTGAATTAAGATATATTTTATTGTATTTTAATTTCAGCTTGTTTAACATTCCAATAATCTATTCACAATTAATGACAGTTTTACATGATTTCATAAGAACTGGAACTATTGTAATGTATGCAATTAATTCACTGCTATTATTACGGTTTAATCATAGAAGCTTATTAGTAAGCATTAATTGGTAATTCTATGCTTGTAATAAAGACAGAGCGTGGAATAAAGTAAGTGGAAAAAGTTAAAGTGTATATTATCCCTCATTCAATTATACCCCGTCAAACTTTTGAGATATTTTTCCAATTCTGATTAAAGCATATAGCACGAGAATAGTATTACTTATTTCAATAGTCAATGTTAAACATATCAAGACTTCATCATTTAAAAATAAACATATGAAATTAAATTACAGTACAAACATAGCAAGAACAAATTCATGTGAGCAAATTTGATCACACAAGACACCATATTATATTACCACTAGCACTAAGACTATAAATATCAGTAACTGTTCAGGATAGACTTTAGAAATTTTCATTCCTATAGTTTTGAGATGGATTTTTTAAAGTCCTTATGCAATGTTGTGTTTTCAAGAATACAACGCTGCTTACTATCACTAAGAAACTTAAAAATACAAACAAAACTAAGACACATTGACTTTTTCTTTCACCGTTTGTTTTCAATTAATATACATTCTTCCTGTTTATCAGATAATGAGTTATTGGTTGATTTCGTCGAATCTTCTAGTTGTGAAATCCGTTTTGATTTTGGTAAAAGTTTTTGATCTATCGGAATACCACGTTTTTTCTTCCATTTTTCCTCAAAACTCAGAATCACTTCCACCTTTAAAAAATATCGTTTATAAACACCAATATTCAAATCAAATTTCATTATGCAAAACTTCAAAAAATCTTAGAGCCAAACGGTATTTTAACAAAAAGACAACTTTTCTGACAATTTTACACTTTGTTTCATCTTTACTATTTTTAATTATGTACTCTCATCTTATAAACTGAGAAAAAAAAAATTATTTCTGTACTACCTCTTGTGTCCAAGAATAGCCACTAGGTGAACCCACCAATAAATGCCGTAATTTACCATTCGAAAGCTCATCCAATCGTTCAAATTCAGCAATTTCCATTTCCGGAAGTTCACGTCGAATTGTGCTACAAATATCCGAATGAAAAATTCTTTTTTGTAAAATGAATTCTTTTAATGATTAATAAAAACTATTCATTATTCCATACGTATATCTCTCAAACGGTAAACTGAACAGAATTATATACTTGACCCCTAGAAAAAAACTCACGGTGTAAACTGCTAAACTCGATACATTATTAAAATATATGCATTAAATTTATCACTGTTAACAAAAATAGAAATTAGCATTGTTGATACAAAACAAATAAGAAATAAAAGAATGAGATGGATGAAAGTGAAGGAAAAGAGTGCCGTAAATAAAATGAGCCAACAATCAAAACTGAAATTGATAAATAAATGTGAAAGAGATGAAGGGAAGAGAAGAAAGCATCGTATAGTTAACAAAAGGTCCAGTTAGCATGACAGCAAAATTTTTGATAAATACAAAAAATCAAATCATAGCTTAAGAAAACAACAA